CAGATGATTTTCGATCGGATAACCAATTGAGAATTTCGAACGGAACCATTTATTTAGTCTACGGAGGCCGGTTGTTCTCGTTCCGCTGTCTATTTCTAAGGGAGATAACTCACATTGTTCTTATTTAGTATTGCCTAATTATTGCTTGCCCTTTTTCCACTGAGTCAAGTTTACGGGTCAACTAGTGCAGACTCACTGGAAAGAGGGCGATTCAATAACTGTGATGTACTAAATATGAAACAAGACGTAGATATGGAGAGTGAAACGAGGTCAATCTACCGCCGAAGATTAAATAAAGGGTACACTTCGAAATTCTCTGAAGGTCACCTTGATCGAGAGATGCCTGAAAAAGGTTGGATAACACAACGGCTGAAACGTTTTGATAATAATAGCAACAAAGATGAGGACAAGAGTCCGATTTTAAATAATTCAAATGTCAAATGATATATTATAGTGAGTCCCGATAAAAAAATATATATGAAATTAAAATATATATATAAAAAAGAATTAAAATTAAAATAAGGCAATTTACTTTCCTTTAAAACCCTTATATCTGACTCTCTTTTTAAATTTTTCTCTCTATACTTCTCTCTCTAAAATTCTTTTTTCTATACTACTCACTCTCTACGCCTGTCTCTAAACTTCTTTCTCTATACGTCTCTCTCTCTCTCTGTACGTCTGTCACTAAACTTTTATCAATATAATTCTCTCTCTAAACTTGACTCACTAAATTTCACTTTCTAAATTCTCTTCCTACATTACTCTCTCTAAACTTCTCTCTATATATTTCTCTATCTGTGTATATTTCTTAGATGAGGTATCATGTACACTATTTACATTATTCGGACTATTGTCCTCATCTTTGTCGCCATGTTTATCACAACGTTTCGGCCGTTGTATGCTCCGGCCTTCTTCAGATAGTTGCAATGTCGAACTGAACCCTTTATTTCACTCACTGGGGTAGACTGTTCCAGTTCCACGTGCCATGTCTAATGGATGTCAGCTATCTCCTGTTAATTCCCCTCGGCCACAAAAATCTCCTGAGCCGACCAAGCATAGAAATGAATACAATATGGGGACCAGTAATAAGAAGTGCCAGAGAAAAGCGATAATAAAAACAACAATTACAATATGAGCTCTGGTAAAAAAAAATGCAACGATAACAGCAAAAATTGCAATATGAGCACTTTTAAAAAAAACAGTTAGCGACAAAGATGAGCACAATAGTCGGAATAATGTAAATAGTATATATTTCTCTCTCTATTCTCTCTATATACTTCTCACTCTATACTTCTCTCTCAAAAATTCTTTCTGTGTACTTCTCTTTCTCTCTATTTCTCTCTATATACTCCTCTCTCTAAACGTCTCTCTCTAAACTTCTCTCTATACATCTTTCTCTAAACTTCCCTCCCTATACTTCTTAATGTAAACTTCTCTCTCTATACCTCTCTCTATACCCCTCTCTATACATCTCTCTATAATCTCTCTATACTCCTCTTTCAATTAATAAGGTAGCCCTCATATAAAAAGGAGAAAGAAAATTTTGCCCTCCGTTGAGAGAATTCTTTTCGAATGACATGTTTTTTTTTATTTTCATATTTTATTTCATATTATTTTTTTATCGGTATTCACAACAATATCCCAAATATTTTAAATGGAGTGTTTGAAAACCCCATTAAGTGTTTACAATACATTTTAAAAAGTCAACAAATCAATTTGAAGCGTAATGAAACTTTATGGTACGCTTGTAGATATTTCTTCTGTACAATAGGTTTGAATTAAATAAAAACAGTTTGATAAACCGATTTAGGATTTTTATAAGGTAAAAACCCTACGAAAAAAGAAATTATCTATGCACGAACAAATGTTTGTGGTAACTTTGATGTTAAAGCCGAAGCAGACGACAAAGACAGACGACACGAGCCGAGTTTGAAAAAAAGAGAAATATGTTAAATTTATTGAACACACAAAATGAAAAGAAAATTACACAAATAAGGTGCTCCGTGTGCCAATAATGACAGTAACATGCATATATACAAAATAGAAAAAATATAATGCAATATATAGTGCAAATAAAATATGCCTAAACGATAAAATTATACCTTTTACAATAAAGGATATGAAACTATACCTTCTACAATACAGATATAATTCAAACAAAGTATGCTGTTTTACAATCAAAATATAAAATATGCTGCAGAAGGACCCCAGAAAGTCAAACGACATTATAACAAATATAGAAAATGAAAGGTACTACAGCTCTGAATGCTTTTCAAATTGTAGGCACAATGTCCGTTCTTGGTAACAGTGAAAAAAATATCATACCATTGAATTTTACTTAGATGGAGGAGCAGTCTTTGATTCGTTTCAATCTTCGGCTGGCGGTATCAAATTTCTTCTATATCGTTGTTCTTGACTGGAGTGATCTGGATTCAATTAACAACTGAAAATGTCGTCTTTTCTCCCTATCGATTCAATCGAATTCTTTTCTTTTATACACCAAGACCGGCTCCTCCAGATTGTGTCTCGGGATTTAGAGTGAAGCCCTCTGATTGGTGCTGAGATAAATCATACGCCGCTATTTTTCCACATTTTTTTAAGCCTTCAACTAGGCTGGCATCTCGCTCTCACCCTTTCACTGTCAAAACTGTTAAATGTAGCCGTCTCTTCTACTCCAATAGCTTCATGTCTCGCACTTCTCGCCTGTAAAACTCCCTCCCCTATTCCTGTTTCCCTGAGAGCTATAATCTCCAACTATTCAAATGTAATGTCAATCGACGTCTCTAGATGCCTTGATCTATCCCCTAACCTTCTCTTCATCCTTTCCTCTATCACTCCTATTTGTTCTCGCTCCAAGTCTCTGTAACCCCTTGCGTGCTAATGGCTTCCCGCCTTGCTTGGGGTGAAACGCTTAAAAAAAGAAAAAAAAAAAAAGCTGGGGCCCAAACAGTGTCTGCTTTTCTGAGAAAAAGCAGACGATATGTGCTCAATCAGCATAGATTTCTTATAATAACAATTCTTTATGCATTAGAATAATTTCCAAATTTCGGCCATTACTGCCAGCGTAAAAATGTTTTGATTTACGATTCAATTTATTTTTTTTATTCTACTTTAATTATTTCCAAACATAACCTTTGTTTTGAACCACATTAGAAAGCACTGACAAGAATATGAAAATATACAAGAAAATGTTACCTGCTCGGGGCAAAATCTATTAATCTGTAATATACCATTTTTATTTTATTTCATTTTAAAACAAAGGAAATGTAGTTGTAACGTTTAATTTCGTTTAATTCCGACGAAGTAAAGAGAACAGTGAGTGTTCTTTCTTTAATAACTGTGGCAAAATGCTATCTTTCCGAGGAAATTATGTGAAAATTATGTGAAAATTCTGTCAACAGAAAGAAAAAAAGTTTTTTTTTTTTTTTTTTCGTCTGAGTCCATTTTACACATTTACAAATCTAGCACTCGTCCGTGCATTAAACACTGTTGCCATTTCTGGTCTGGTGCTCCTGTTATTCATTTCGAGGTTCTTGACAAAATCAAAAAAGGATCTGCAATGTAAATGATCCTGACATGGCATCTCGTCTTCAGTCACTTTCTACACAGACGTGACATAGCTTCCGTCTCTCTATTTCTACAAATATTTTCATGGCAACTTCTCTGACGAGCCTTTTCCCCTGGTTCCCCGACTATACTAATTTAAACGTACTACTAGATTGGCATCTAGGTCCCACCCTTTTACTGTTGAAATAGGTAATTGTAACCAAAACTTTCAACGCCAGCAGTTTCTTTTCTCGCACTTCCCACCTGTTGAACTCTCTTACGTTTATTTACTTCCCTGAAAACTACAGTCTTTAAAAATTTAAATGCAACGTCAGTCAGCATTTTCTGACTTCTTGAATCCCGTTCCTCAATCCATCACCACCACCCACCATCACCACCCAGTCTTTTTTCTCATGTTCATTCTCTGCAACTACCTTCGTACTAATGGTATTTCCGCCTTGCTTGGTGTGGAATAAAAAAAATCACTGTTTTCTCTACTTTTATATTAGTTTCGAAATTTGTCCAGTCCGGTGAATAATGCTATTTGCACACATGACGGTATCCCATGAGGCTTCACTAGACATTTCCATTATTTATATTCAAAATGGCGCATGTTTTATCACCGTGTTCCTGTTCCTGTAAGTGTCGACAACTACAGCAGCAACACCACCCCACCACCAGGACCACTACCACCGTCGCCACCACCACCAATAACAATTATTATTATCATTATTATTGTTGTTGTTGTTGTTTCCTTTGGTTTCTGTTGTATACTCATTTCCTTCCGGGTCCCAACCAGAGACCTGAGGTTAGAAAAGGCATCATGACATGTAGAATATTGAACAATTTTGGTAAAACAAATAAAACTAAAAAAAAAACCAAAAAACAAAAAAAACCAAAAAAAAAACCCTAAGATCACAGCCATTCTACACAGAAAAAGCCTCTCGTAAAGTGTGAGTTGCACTTGTGAAAACAAGGTCTTGCATTTCTTTAAGGCGTAGACAGCCAGAGATCTCTTCAGTGAACCTATCAGAACATTTGACATTCAAACCCAGGACCCCAATCACAACTGAAATTATTGCATCATGTGCCACTTTATTATTATTATTATTATTATTATTATTATTATTATTTCTTTTGATTTCTGGTGTGTACACATTTTTCCGGGTCTCGCACAGTGACCTAAGGTTAGAAATGGCATCATGATATTTTCCACTGACCAATTAAACACACACTTACACATACATATTTTACATAGATAAAGCTCTTCGTAAGGTGTGGGCTGTACTTTTGAGAACAATTATTATTATTATTATTATTATAAATTAGAATTCAATTCTGGTCTGAGATTTTTAATGCTATCAAATATCTGTAACAATCATTACATTTCATAATAACGTTTAATAAAGTTCAATTCTTATACTCTTTAAGTTTTTTCTTGTTGTTTGTTTCTGATGGGTCCCAAATTGCCCCCCTACCCCGCTGACATCATTTGTTCCTTTTGTCAGGTTTTGGAAAAATGGGTCGAACTGAGAATATTTTTGGCCATGCTGAATAAGACTAGTATGACTTTTCTTCTTTTACAGTAAAATTCACCCTGTACAACGCCCGGGGCCATTTGTAGTGACCTTAAAGACAGTGGCAGCTGTAGCTCTAAAATAAAACTTATCAGCAGCAGCTCTCGAATATAAAAACACGTGAAACCGGGTAGGACGAGAGATAACTGAAGGAGGGCTTAACGGACGAAGCATCGTGGGTGTAACAATTTAGATGAGCCCATTGGTCCGAATAATAATACATGATAGCAATCCCTGTGAAAACGTCACGGTTTTCTTATTTTAATTTTCTGATGAATCATAATTCTCAAGTCAGTGATTGAATAAGGCTCTTTGAGAGTTACACAATTATAAAATACCCGTGGAAATTTCCCTTATTGGCTTGGTAACTATCTGAACTTAGTAACTTTAACAAAACATTCCAAAAACAATGATAAATATGAAAGCAGGCCATTAGTTAAAGAAGTAAGAGGGTACAAATGAAAAGATTAAAATGTGACAAGGTTTTCCGTTTCAATGAAGCAGCTGTAAAACACATAAGATTGTTATCGCCTTCACTTTCTTTCTTTTCTTGTTTCTTTCATTTTTTTCTCTCTTTCTTCCTTTTTTCTTTCTTTGTTTTTTTTTCTTTTTTCTTTCTTTGGTTCTTTATTTTTTCTTTGTTTGTTTCTTTCTTTCGCTCGTCCTTCCTTCCTTCCTTCCTTCGTTTCGTTTGTTCTTTTTTTCGTGCTTTCTTTCTTTTCGTTCTTTTTTTCTTTCTCTCTTTTTCCTTCTTTCCTTCGATCTTTTTTTTTTCTTTCTTTTGGTTCTTTTTTTTTTTTTTTTTGTTTTTTTTCTTTGTTTGTTTCCTTCGTTTCTTTCTTTTTTTCTCGTCCTTCCTTCCTTCCTTTCGTTTCGTTTGTTCTTTTTTTTTCGTTCTTTTTCTTTTTTTTTTTTTTTTTTTTGTTTTTCTTTCTCTCTTTTTCCTTCTTTCCTTCGATCTTTCTTTTTTCTTTCTTTGGTTCTTTTTTTTTTTTTTTTTGTTTTTTCTTTGTTTTTTCTTTTTTTTTCTTTCGCTCGTCCTTCCTTCCTTCCTTCCTTCGTTTCGTTTGTTCTTTTTTTCGTGCTTTCTTTCTTTTCGTTCTTTTTTTCTTTCTCTCTTTTTCCTTCTTTCCTTCGATCTTTCTTTTTTCTTTCTTTGGTTCTTTATTTTTTCTTTGTTTTTTCTTTGTTTGTTTCTTTCTTTCGCTCGTCCTTCCTTCCTTCCTTCCTTCGTTTCGTTTGTTCTTTTTTTCGTGCTTTCTTTCTTTTCGTTCTTTTTTTCTTTCTCTCTTTTTCCTTCTTTCCTTCGATCTTTCTTTTTTCTTTTTTGGTTCTTTTTCTTTTTTTCTTTGTTTTTTCTTTGTTTGTTTGTTTCTTTCTTGCGCTCGTCCTTCCTTCCTTCCTTCCTTCCTTCCTTCCTTCCTTCCTTTCGTTTGTTCTTTTTTCTTTCTTTCTTTCTTTCTTTCTTTCTTTCTTTCTTTCGTTCTTTCTTTCTTTTGTTCGTTCTTTCTTTCTCTAAAAACAAACATCGCAATAAACAATAGATATTTTCTTCCGTTTTGTGGACAAGAAACAATCAAGCCAATCACATAAATATCCTCGCAATCAAATAAATGATTCATTATTTATCTGAGGCAATGACAAGATGTATCACACGTAGTAGATAAGGATAGAAAATACAAGCCGAATAAAAGCCATGAAGACAAGAATATCTCATGTTGTCATTCAAAAGTGGAATAAAAACGATCGAGAAAGGAGGATCCTCGTACAGCGACTGAGAAAGATGGAACGTGGGCTGAGGACTAGATTCGGAATCCTGGGCTTTATTCTTGCACTCGAGGTAGAAGGTTAGAGAAGGATTGTTTTGGTTTGGTTTATTTTGTTTTATGGCATATCAACCTCAATGGATTATTTAATGTCGACATTTTTTTTTTATTGCTGGTAATATTTTGTTTTGTCAAAAATCTATTTCTGGTAATATTTTTCCTTCAAAATTTTATTGCTGGTAATAACTTTTTCAAAAAAAATATTGCTGGTAATAGTTAACTATTTGCCCATAGCTGGGACCCTAACAGGTGCTACCACCCCGGGTCAGGGTGGACCTGAGAACACCAGCAATTAAGAGGTGGTTCCACGCTTCTCAAAACATCCTGATCAGAGGCCTTGCTGCTGGACGTAGTTTATCGTCTTACCCAGGACGCGGGTGTAGTTTAACGTCTTACCCAGAGTAGGAGGTACAGCATATGGAAGTATGGGGGAAGAATACATTTAACCCTAGACTTGAACAAGTTATGAGCGTATTAATCGGGGAAGCATCCTCTTGGGAGTCGGTTCCACAAAGCAAATACGAAAGGAATGAGGATGGTTCGCTACAATGCACGCTGCATAGTGGGTCTAAATTCTTTTCATTCTCTTTCGATCCCAGTAGCCTATTGCGTCTTAGTCTGATTATCGCCTTACTTGGGGTGAATTGATTAGAAAATAGTCCAAGGTTAACAGTTATCTTCCTCACATATCCGCATAAATTCTGCCTCTTACTCCTTGAGCCTTGTACAGGGTGAGCATGAAAAAAATGAGAAAATATGGCGGCAAGTGATCAGGGAAATATAAAGTTTATAATACTTATTTTTGATCCTATCCATAGATAGAAAACTGGTAATATCACCAGGTTCTCGCGGTGTTGTTTCATTGAACTGGGATATTTTCTTATATTAGAAGAAGATATATATTAAAATGATAGAATGTTATATAGCCGTTATTGCGGTCAAAGGAGGTTTTAGAACAAAAGATAATGTGGTGTCTGTATGCGACACGTGATCCACATGGAGGCTAAGGAGGCTTCCCTAGCGTGGACGGAAATGAGTGGTTGGGATATTTTCTTGTATTGGAGATATATATTAACACGATAAAATGTTATAGAGACGTTATTTTGGTCAAAGGACGTTTTGGAACAAAAGATAGTGTGCTGTGTGTATGCGACACGTGATTCACATGGGGGCTAAGAAGGCTTCCCTAGTGCGGATGGAAACGAGTGGTTGGGATATTTTCTTGTGTTAGAAGGAGATACAATAGAATTTTATATACGTTATTGCGGCCAAAGGAGGTGGAACTAAGGAATGAAGTTCGTTTGAACAATTTCCACGGAAATAGCGATGGTCGGTTCTTCAAAAGCCTTCATCACTATAACCAAATTATATGTGCGAGCAGTCTGGCTGTTCGGTTCTAAGAATTGAATTGCTAGACCCTCATACGTCGAAAAACGACGGAAGAATTCTCCCTGTTCCATATTTTTAAAATCTAAATTTTCTCACTTGATTATCATATCTCAAATTTGAATTTTCATCTTTTGGTATTTTCTATTAACCATACAAAGTCTGTCTGAAAAGCAACGGCAAATCCGTTCTTCGATGTGAGAGGCATCGTCCACCGTGAGTTCTTGCCACAAGGACAGGCGATCAATCAGCAAATCTACATTCTGCGTCGTTTGCTTCGCTGAGTGCGCGAGAAGAGACGAGTGTTGTGGCAGGACAAATCGTGGCTGCTTCACCATGAAATGCACTCAGTATCCGGCAGTTCGTGGCCGAACATCGCCGTAGTGGAACAACTTTCCTTTGCCTCTGATGATCTTGCTCTGTGGGAGTTTTTCTCCCCCCCCCCAACTCAAGGGGATCATCAAGGTTACCCATTTTGAAGGCGTGGAGCCCATCAAGAGATCGGTAATGACGGAACTGAGGGGCATCCAAGAAGAATCCTTCTTGAAGCGTGTCAGAGAAAGATAGAGAGGATTACCTTGAAGAGAAACACATGTAATTTGTTGTTTGGAATTGAAATAAATTCTTTGTGATACCAGTCGTTACTTTTCATACAGAACTCATCTAAATACATTCCGATTAAAAAAATACATTGCATTTTTTTCACATACTTTTGTGGTAGGATAAATCGTGTCTGCTTCAGGACGACAATACATTTCCTCACAACGCCCTGAGCATCCGCCAGTTCCGGACCGAGAATAACATCGCCGTACTGGAACAACATCCCTATTCACCTGATCTTGTTCTGTGTGACTTTTTTCTTTTCTCCAAACTCAAGGGGACCCGTTTTGAAGGCATGGAAGCCATTAAGAGGGCCGTAATGAAGCTGTATTCCATCCAGGGAGAATTCTTCCAGCAGGGCATAGAGGCGTGGCAGAGATGGATGGAAAAGTGCTTTAGATTTAATGGCGATTGTTTTGAAGGGAAAACCATGAAGTTTGTTGCTTGGAATTGAAATAAATTCTTTATGGTACCAGTCCCATTACTTTTCAGACAGAACTCATCTATATATTTTCCAATTAAAAAAAATTTTTTTTTCATATCATTTTGTAGCAGGATAAATTGTGGCTGCTTCACCACGACAACGTACTTGCTCACAATGGCCTGAGCATCCGGCAGCTTCGGCCAAGAAGAACATTGCCGTACTGGAACAACATCTCTATTCACCTAGACTTGCACCGTGAGACTTATTTCTTTACCCCAACTCAAGATCATCAAGAGAACCCGTTTCGATGGCATAGACGCCATCAAGAGGGACGTACCGACGGAAATGGGCGACATCCAGGAAGAATCCTTCCCGCAGCGCATAGAAACGTGCCAGAGAAGGATGAAAAAGTGCATTAAACTTGAGGAGGATTACTTTGAAGGGAAAGCCATGTTGTCTGTTGAAATTAATTGTCTATGACAGTAGTCCCGTTACTTTTCAGAAGACCTGGCATATTCTATCTCATAATTGCGGATTAGTCTTTTCTTCGCATTTTAATATTATCTGAAGGAGTTCCTGCCGTTGTCTTTCAATACCTGTTATTAACACTATATCATCCACATACTAAAAAATAAAAAATAAAATAAAATAATGATTTTACTCAAGGGAAGCAACTTTTGAAATTTTCAAGGGAGTTTTTCCCCTTAATGATTGCAATCTATTTGAAGCTGTCAAAGATCAAAATAAGAACTTTATTTTTACTAAAGTTCCCCCAGTAAAACACCCAAGAACCACTCAAGGCAGAGGGTTACAGTGAGGAGTTGTATTAGCGTAGAAAGGGGAAAATAACAAGGGATATTGAAAGCTAATTCTAGACTTGCAGAGGTCAAGATTTAATTAGCGAATAAAATTTCAGAGTTCAGGCGGAGACATCAGAATTGCAGAGTTAAAGGAACCGGAAACCGAACCCTAAACAGGAAACAAGGGAACATTTACTCATGTTCACTCCAAGGAGGACTGTGAACCGGACCTGTCTACTCCTACTGAGGAGAAGAAAATAACTAAATAATTAGTAAATTAAATTTCAATGTTTATTTGCAGACGTTTTTTTTTTTCAAATTACTATTCAATGCTTCATTTTGTACAGAATACTTCCAAATGTCTTTGAGAGAGATGTTTGAGCAAATATGACAGACAATTTGCGTTTTTTCTATCCATTTTAGGAACACACAATATGAATCTTTTTTTCTTTCTCTTATTTGATGTTTACTGAGCAGTTTATTGATCACTAGAGTTCGTATTTGTACCAATACCTGCCAGACTCGAATTCCTTGAGTATTTGTCCATTTATTAGTCTCTTTCCAGGGGGATTTAGCTTCAAGAACGACATAATTCTTCCTTCGAATAATATTTTTCATTCATTTTTGAAGGGCTTAAAGAATCTATTTCTATCAGCTTTGTTGTCATCATTCATCTCATCATCTGATTATAAATAAGTAATGCTGACATTATCGCTTTCATCATCATCTTCGGAAAAAGAAGATTCAACACTAATGTCTTCTTCCCGCTCTTCATCAAACTCGGATAGTAATTGTGAAATACCTTCAAGGTTTTAGCTTTTACCATTTTGCAGAAGGATTGCAACTTTAAGGACAAATGAAAAGTTTGGCCAGCGCACGGTCTCCATACACTAACTTTTATTATATTACGTATATATATTATGTATGTATATGGTGTATGTATATTAGGTATGTATATAATGTATATATATTAGGTATGTATATTAGCATGTATATTAGGTATGTATATTATGTATGTATATTAGGTGTGTATATTAGGTATTTATATTATGTATGTATATTAGGTATGTATATTAGGTATGTATATTAGCATGTATATTAGGTGTGTATATTATGTATGTATATTAGGTATGTATATTATATATGTATATTAGGTATGTTTAGGTATGTATATTATGTACGTATATTAGGTATGTATATTAGGTATGTATATAATGTATGTATATTAGGTATATATATTAGGTATATATATATAATGTATGTATATAATGTATGTATATTATGTATGTATAATTATAGATGGAGAAAGATATAACAATTTTAATCAAGATTTATTCTCTGAAATAGAAAAATTACAATACATCTGCGCATTTAGTTTGAAATTTTAAACTTAATTCAAATTACAATTTTTTTCAAATTACAATTCATCGTTGCATTTTTGCACAGATTACTTTCAAATGAATTTGAGAGACATGTTTCAGCA